TTGAATTTTTTTAGCCATTAGATCACTTGATCTAATGGCTACAATGTATTCTTATTTCTTTCACTAAGCACCATTCTCATGTGAACCCAACCCTATATATATATATATATAGAGAGAGAGAGATAACGTATCTGAGTTCCATGTAAACTTCATCAAGGATAAATAAGAACCATAAAATATATTATTCCCAAACTATGACAATCCGTTTAACAAAATATGCATAGGGTTTGATTTAATAGGACCGTTCCTTCTAATGGAGATATTAGGCTCAGTCCTAGCCGCTAATTTGTGTAAATTAATTACTCTTATTATTCAATTGAAATTGACATTAATTATATGATCAAAATAAATTTTATTATATTTAAATAAGTTATATAATAAATAAATTGATTGGCCAACGTTGACCACAGTCGATGACCGGTGATCAATTTGATTAATATTCTTTTAATTATGTAATCTATTAATATATAAAGAGACAATGATATTTACTTGAAATATTAACTAGAAACCAGCCAGTAAAAAAATAATTGGTTTCCCGCTTGAAAATTCAATTTCCTAAATTAGGTACTTTCTTTTGCCAAATTTTGAAAAGTTCCTCCTAATTTAATGTATTTAATGTACATAATTATTTTAGTTAAATACTGTGGCTATTACCTTTATTAGTTACATAATTGAAATTTGGAATACAATCTCTATTGACAAAACTTGCGACTATTATCTTTATAGTTGCTTGGTTTTAATTTGGTATATAATATATTAAAATAAAATAAAATAAAATATCTTTATTTAAAATTAAAATCAAAAAAATTATTATTCATAACTTACAGGTCAATAATAACTTGGACGTAAACGAAATAGTCAATTATTTATAGTTTAATAAATTACTCAACTACTTAATTTTTTTTATTTGAATAGTTTATACAAAAATAAATTTATTTTAACTAATGAAACAATATAAATTTAATATTTATACTTATTATTCACATAGGTTTTTAGATAATATTTAATAAAAAATTTTAATTTATAAGTATTAATGAATATCTCTTACTCGTGCGTTGTATGGACTCATACTAGTTAATTTAATATAATGATTTTTAATTTTTATTGTTAAAATAGTGAATTATTGTCTGCTAGATTTATAATTCAAAGTGTTTTTGAATTAATCTCATCTTTTAAGAACTTTCATAATAAATAATGCATATTTAGTTCATATAAATGCATAATTAGTTGAGAACATTAAGACAATAGCTCCAATTTTTAAGGCTCTAGGATATTGCTTTCAATTTCATGTTTTGACTATATAGTTAGTTCATACAAAATGCGTATTTTGTTCATACATAGTGCAAATTTAATTCATGAACAATGCACACATAGTGCTATTCAGTTCATGAAGTAGAAGGTATTGATTTAGATGGAACTATGTTCAGAATTTATGTCATTGTTTCACAACCCAAAAAAAAAAAAAAATGAAAATTTCTTAGTATTTCAACATTGACATAATCAATATACTTATACTAAGAGACGTTTTTCTCTTTATTGGTTTTAGTCCATGTGTTACTCATTTTCATTCATTGAACTGTGAGATATTTTAGTTACTTTAATTCACAAATGTAACACCCCGCTATTTCATGAAATTCAGAGCGCGCTTTTCGCAAAATCTTTGAATAAATAAAAACATATATTTTGCGAAATACTGATTTGGGGTGCTACCGTAAATCTGGCTTTATCTGAAAACCGTTATTTTAGTTTTTAAGAAAACCAACGGTTTAACGTAATATATTAACCGACTGGAAGTTGGAATAAAAGCTGATTTGATAAACTGAAATCATCAGCGGAAAACATAGTGTAGCCAAAACA